CACCTCACCCCGCTGCATTTCCTCCACCCACGCGACGCCGCCCCCCCCCACTAAAGGGCGCGCGCGGCCACCAACCTGTCTTTCCTGTACCTGTTGGAGGGCGACCTGGACGCTGCTGCCGGGTACACGGACCTCGCCCTCAGAACGGACAGGCGCGCACGGGCGGGGTGTTGAGGTGGGGCAGGGATGCAGATATGCAGCCTGGCACCTGTTCCATGCATGCACCGGGCCACACAGCGAGGTCTGGACTGTCAGGTGGCGCAGCCACGTCGCAGGTCAAGGAGTAACGCAATCGAACGCCCAACCGTGACCGCCGTGCGCAGGTACAACGCGAAGGCCCACGTCAACAGGGGCGTGCTGCTGATGGAGGGCGGGCGCCTGGAGGAGGCGCGGCAGGCGTTTGGCGACGCGGCCGCCATCGAGCCGCTGCTCCCGCAGGCGCTCTACAACATGGGGTGCGCGCCTCCCGTGGGCGTCCCTCACCTGTGCATGCTTCGCCACGCACAGCACCTCACAGGGCGTGGGCAGCACAATTGAAGCTGTTGAGGTCATCTCACATGGGCAGCTGGTCAGCTGCGCACATACCTTGTCCCCGCCTCGTCTGGATCATCGCCTTTCCCTTGAAGTCTGGCTATTTCGGTGCTTTCTTGTCTTCCCCGGCCGCCCTCTGTCGCAGCGTGGTCAACCTGCGGCTGCAGGAGCCCGAGTCAGCGCTGGTGCCGCTGCGCAAGCTGCACACGCTGCTGCCGGACCAGCCGGAGGTGGTGCACTGCATCGCACTCGCGCATGACATGCTGGGGGACACCCAGGTGTGTGTGTTTGGCGGGGGGAGGTGGGCCGCAGGAGCTGGGCACAATTTTCCTGTGGGATTTTATTTCTCAATGCGCCATGATGGTCTATTTCTCAAAGCGCCATGAGCTCAGTGGGAGTGCCCAAGTCTGCACTCCGGCGGTGTCACAGCCGCTTGGCCGTTCAGGTCAAGTTTTGACCACTCGGGCCGGTGACCTGTGTGGGCGTTGCATACACACATGCGGATTGCTGGGACTCCATGTGCAACACGCCTCGCGCACGCCCCCAGCCATGTCCCGTTGCCGCAACTTGCTACGGGCGCCGCAGGGCGCCATCCGCTGGCTGGAGCTGCTGACCAGCCTGGTGCCAAATGACCCCGGCGTGCTGTGCAAGCTAGGCGCCATCCATTACAGGCGCGCATGCGTGAAGGGAGGACGCGCACTAGGCGACCCTCCCTACAAATGGCGCTTCCACACAACATGCATGCGCACCATGCACGGCCACCCCATTCGAGCCGGCGCACTCCGACGGCAAGCCCGAAGCGCCCCAAGGCGTTGGCCGTACCGCCCTCAGCTGTCCTCACTGCCGGACTGACTATTCCTGCACACCTGCTGCGGCTGCTGGGCCGTCGGTCCCCCCTGCCCTGCCCTGCCCCCTCAGGCTGGGCGAGGAGGCGCGGTCCTTGGCGTACTACCAGGACGCGCACCGCGTGTGGCCGGTCAATCTTGACGTCATCTCGTGGCTGGGGGCCTACCACGTGCGCACTGGTGAGGACCGCCTCGAGGGCCGGCTCAGAGCGCGCAATGCGCAGGCTGCAGCTGTTGACACGGGGCAGCTGGGGTAAATAAACTGCTTGCCCTTCTGAGACGCCGGGCCCAGCGTCATGTATTCCGGACCGCGGGCTTCGCCCCCCAGTCTCATTCAGCGCACGCGTCAGTCTGCCCCCTGATGTGCGCATGATCTCACCTTGCGCCCCCGTGACACGACGCCCAGAGGTGTATGAGCGGGCCGTCCCCTACTTTGAGCTCGCGGCCGCCATCCAGCCGTCCGAGGTTAAGTGGGCCCTCATGGTGGCCTCGTGCCACCGGCGCGTGGGGGCATACGAGGCCGCACTCGCAAAGTGAGCAGGCGCGGCAAAAGGGTGAAAAGGGAGGGGGGGGGTACAAGCGCAGAACACAGCAAATTCCTTGCTTCATACCGCAATTGCGGCGGAGCCAGGCCCTCAGACCTGGTTGCAAGAGTGATTTTGGGTCATGCGCGCAGCACAGGCCGGCATGGCCTTCATGAAGCAGTAGTGACTGCTGCCCGTGTGATGGGTCGGCCCTGCGCACGTGACAATCGGTGACCGACACATCCGCCCAAAGTGCACCCATGCCCTGCCTCACAACTGTTTGTTCCACCCAGGTACGAGTCCATCGCGGCCTCTCACCCCGGCAACACCGAGTGCTTGCGATACTTGGTGCGCCTCTGCCAGGACCTGGGCCGCACGGCGGATGCCGAGCGATACGGCGAGGCCCTGCGGCGTGCGGAGAGGGCGGCAGCTGCGGCGGCCGAGGCGGCGGCGGCGGCGGCGGCCGGAGCGGGCGGGCAGCAGCAGGGCGGGGGGCGGAGTAGCCTTGATGGCGGGCAGCAGCAGCAGCAGCAGCAGTATCAGCAGCAACAGCAGCAGCGGTTTCAGGAAGAGGAGCAAGGGGATGTCAGGGGCCTAGACCGTCACATTGCAACGCGGGTATCTGAGAGGCGGCGTGCACATGCAGGTTCTGCAGAGGAAAACCCGCCAGGCCGCGCAGCAGCAGGCGGCGATATGTGGGCCGGTGAGAAGCTTGGGGATGACCTACTGCCAATGTAATGCGTGTGATTTGCAGGTGTGCGTGCGTCAGCTTTCTATCTAATTTTGATGCGCATGGCCGACACAAGGGCCTGGCTGCCAGGATATCATACGCAGCCGGAGGCAGTTCAAGGGTTGTTGTTATGGGGCGCGGCAGACATTTCCATGCTGAGGTATGTAGGCTGCACACTTTCGGAGGGCAACATTTACTTTCACACCCTTCAAGTAGTGTCATTCACGCGCATATCGAAGCCTGTCGGGCTTTCCCGCGCGTGATCAGATCTGAGCTCGGCGTCGTGACGAGGAGCCACGTCAATATGGTGGGCGTGTGGCCGTCGCGACATGGCAGCATGAACACTGGAGGCTTCCAGATTATACACACGAGTCTGTTCACGAGGCGAGCTGAGCTCGCTGCCTGTCTCCGCGATTGGCAATCTCCGCCCGTCTCAAATATCCTAGGGGCGCAAGGTCGCGGCCCAGGCTCAGGAGGAGCAGGAGGTCTGCATCAGCGCCCGTGAGAGCTTTGAGCTGGTGGGTTCGAGATCGGCGAGTTGCGCTTGGGCGTGAAGGCAGCAGCGTGCGCAACATGCTCGGCGCGCTGCTGTGTCATGCAAAGGCTTGGCCTGGCTGGTGGTGAGTAGGAACCAGTAAACCACATCCCCATTTGAAGGAGGCGGCGACGGTTGTGTGGTACTCTATGGCCAGCGCCATGCTGCTCGCTGTTCAAACAGGCCGCGGCCGAACCCCCACGCGCGTCTAGCCGCCTCGCAGGGCTTCCTGGATTGTTGCACACAGCTAGGACAGCATGATGAGCTACATGCCCCGGTTTCAGGCAGACAATTAAAGGAGGGCCCTCTCCACCCTTCTTCCCGGCCCCACGCTCACCCTTTCTCTCTTCACCCGCCATGCCAGGTGCGCTGCCTGCTGCGCGTGAGCATCTACCACGTGTCATTCCTGCGCGGCCTCTTCCCTGATAAAATGTTCAGCGGCGCCACCATGAACAATCTGGGTGCGCGGGTCGCACGGGTGCAGCTCTGGCCTGGGATTGCAGGACAGGCAGGAGGGGCGGGTCGCAGCACAGCTCTGTCTGTGGACGCCATGATATCACCATGCGGGTCTTGCCTGTGACTTTTGGAGCTTGCATGCTGGTGCATCCGCGGCCATGCGTGCGCATGCGGCGCCCCTCGACCCATGCAGAGTATCCCCGCCCATGCCCTGGCCCAACCTGACCGCCAGGGGGCGTGACGGTGCAGATGCTGGGCGGCGACGGCGTGCAACTCAGCCAGGACGCCCAGAAGCTCAAGGACTGGGTGGAAAAAGGTGATTGTGTCCTGCATGCATCAAGAGCGGGCGGTTGTGGGGTCTGGCAGGCAGGGGTGCATGGGCAGGGGGTCGAAATTCGTGGCATCAGGTGTGAGCGGCCTGCCGCAGGTGGCAGCGCTTCGTGGCACATGCTGGGACGGCATCAATATGCTGCCCGATGGAGCGGCGGCGCCCTAGCTCTATCTGTGACCAGCGGACCCTGGCCCTGTGACTTTGCTGATGTTGCTCTTGATGTCTCTCCGGTGCATGTGGCATCACCCCTTGTCAGGCGTGGTGGAGGCTGTGAAGGAGCGCTTTCTGAAGAAGCTCTACTTTGGCATCGCGGCAGACCCCGAGTGCACCGACATCCTGGAGGTGGGCGGGAGCACGGAAGGTGAAGAGTCTGGATGGGAGGTTGGCAAGCATGTGGTCGGACGCTTGCCTTCCAGGCAATGTATGCCGGCCACCCGGCCGCACCCCAGCCTCCATTGTGTGGGCTAAGCACCAGCTGCATAGCATTACCTGGCCCCCACCTGTACCTTGAAGGGGCGGGCCCTGCCTGTCCTGCCTGCAGATGCGGCCCTCTCCAGGAGCCTCACTCCAATGACTTCCTCCTAGCCCGCCCCCAACACCCGATGCCCACTCCCATGGTGCCGCAACCTTGCAGGAGTTTGTGTTCACATTTGCGTATGGCGCCGACGGCGGCGGCACCACCATGAACTTGGACGCATCCGCTACTGCGGCGGGCGGCAAAGCGCACGCGACCTTCAAGGGCGGGAAGGCCGGCGCGGTGGGCGCAGAACGGCCGACAGGGGGCTGTGGGCGCATGCTTGTCAAGAGGGCGTCCAAATCCAAGCCTGCCAGGCTCCCGTGTGTCACCTTGCTGCTGGCACCACCCTGCCCGAAGCAACATAGGATATGGGAGGGCGCACATCCATTTCATATCCGTGTTGTTCTCAACCATCGCAGGGTAGCAAGCTGATCAGCATTAAGCACGTCAAGAACCAGGTTGGGACCAGAAATGCACCTGCACCCCTACAGCCATGGGCTGGGGTGCCTCTCGCAGGACCAGGCGCGCATTACCATTCGTGCAGCCCCCTTCACAATGCAGTCCCTCTTACAACCGACTACCACCCCACCCCCGGCACCGACCTCACCTCGCCGGGCTTGCAAATATACGTTCCAGATATACCGCCTCATGCGCACCCTGGTGGAGCTGTGCAGCACTCTGGACGAGGTGCCAGAGCAGCGCCACATTTTCATGAGGCTCACGTACCAGGTGGGGGGAGGCGCGGGGGCAGCTGCGGGCAGAGGCATGCAGATGGGAAGCAGGGAAGCCCTGTGTCGGGCCAAAACGCGGCTGGTGTGGCACAAGTTAGAAGCTGCCGCTCTACACAACACCATTAACACATTTGCGCAGTGCCAACAACCACAAATGCTGATGACTCATCACAGGAAGATGCCCCCGCGGACTACGAGCCGCCCCACTTTGCGCCCGCCACGGAGCAGCAGGCCAACGGCGCGTTTGCCGCCCAGCCCTTCAGCATGAAGGTGGGCCGCAGGGGCCAGCGGAACACCCAGCCTTTGTCTGGCTGGTTGGATCAGTGCGCAGACAGGTCTCGTGCTCCCAGTCATGCAGCCTCCTCGTGCTTCTTGCCCTTGAACCCTGTCACCAGCCCACTCGAACCCATGATGTGCTTCTGAGGAGTAGCCGCTCGTGACTGCCAAACCCTACCTGCAGGCAGGCAGCTTGGCTACCGAGCACCACCGTGTGTCGGTGCGCGTCAAGAGCCTGCTCGACGCCGTCGACGACGCTGCGTGCGCCCCCGGCGATGACGAGGAGGAGATGGTAGCGATGGGCCTCGCAGCCAACGGCGCCGACGCCGATGCTGGGGGCGGCGCTGCCGATGTGGCTGCGGCTGCTCAGCACCAGCAGAGGCGCGGGGCGGCTGCAGCCGGCGGCGGGGGGGCGGACTTCAAGGGGGACGAGGGCGACGAGGGCGGCGGCGCCGTGGGCTGGGGCGAGGGAAGGGGAGATGGCGTGCAAGCCGGCGATCAGGACATGGCCATCGAGCCTCGGCAGGTGAGTGGGAGTGAGCCCGGTGTGTTTGTGCACGGTCCAGGGAGTGTTGACGTGCAGAGCGCGACCTGGTGATAGCCTGCTGCACGTGGTCGAATTGCAATGATGGGGCGCTGCTTGGCCTGCTTGGCCTGGAGCCCATCAGATGGAGCCCATCAATTGGCTGACCCTCCAACCCTTGAGGTTGGCGTCCTTGCATCTCGCATGCCGCCCACCCACCAGACCGCATTGAACCCCGGCGCCGCCGCCCACCGCGGCATCCGGCGGGAGGAGGCGACGCCGCCGCCAGAGGGCGAGGGCGGCGGTGGGCTGCTGGGGCCTTCCCAGGAGGTGGATGGGCCTGTCAACACTGACCGGATGCTGCATGGTGCGAGGCTTTCTGAGAAACATTGTTTGAACATGACATTTGCTAGTTTTGGGTTTACACTCGGTTTAAGATTGCGATATGCTGTCTGCACGGAAGTTGCCAGCGGCGCTGCACTCACGTGTGTGGAGCTGCTGGCTGGACTCCTTGCGCTCGGCTGCCTGGCTTGCCTAACAGCAAAGCACTCAACCCTTCGGTGAGGCCTTGCGTGAGCCCAAGCCACTCCGCTCCTCCCCCGCAGATGCCAACCAAAACGCCTCGCCCGCCTCTGGTCTCAACGATGACCTGGGCGTGGGCCACCCCGACCAACTCGGCTACCCACCAGACCACCCAGGCAATGAGGTGCGCCGCCGCGGCCACAGTTTAATACCTGAGGGCACGAAGGGGTGTGTTGAGCGGCCCGCCCGCCTGCGCGCGCTGCTCCTCTAGGGCTCGCAGCGCAAGGATGCCCCTCCCCCATGGTCCCTGATTCAGGATGCCGCCATGGGTGACGCCCACCCCGCGGACCAGCCGGCCCGCCATGTCGGCAGCCAGGCTCTGCATGATACCCAGGTGGGTGTTTCTCTAGGGGGAAGTGGCCCTTGCGCAAAGCAGCGCTCACACGCTATGCTCGTCGCATCCATGCCACGTCATTCTGCCAACGCCCAGAGTAGGATTGACCATATTTGTAGTGTCCACCCACACTTACTGCTGCATTCGCCCACATTTGCTGACGCATCAGGTGCCTGCTAACGAGGAAGAGCTGCTGCAGCTGACGCTGGCGCCGCCGCCCCTGGATGCAGCCATGGAAGACCTGCAGCTGGCCGGGAGCGGTGGGTGGCTGTTGACGTTGGAGGCGTTGTCAATCTACCTGCTGACTGTCTGCAGGTAGCCGCCACAGTTCCTCTTAACACCGCGCACACAGCCCACCAACTGCAACACGCACTGTCGCTGCCCCCCCTCCCCGGCTGGCGCGCTGCAGGCCCGCAGGCTCCTGCGGCGCCCTCCAGCGTCGCCCACCACATGGGCGGTTCCCAGACCTCCAGCCAGGCCGCGGCGGCCGCCACTGAGCGCGTCCGAGCGCACATCCTTGCGCGGGTGGAGAAAGCGGGGCAGATCAATCTGACTGATGTGGCTACCTGCTTCTGCATGGCGAGTGGGGGCCATTTTGCCAGCCCGTGTCGGTCAGCTGACATGGGTTAGATGCTAGTAGGAGGATATATTGATTTGTGAGAGATTCTTTGTTGGTGGGTCAGTTGTGGTGTTGTGCCTGTCGGTCAGGTGTGGTGTCACACCACAACGGTTGTGGGTGTTGCGTAGTCAACAGCAACAAGTTTGGCGTTGCCGGAGCGTTGACCCTGTCAGTGTTCATGCTGTCGATTATTGGTATGGTTGTCCCATTATGAAGGCAGGTGTCCCCCACCTGGAACCCTTACTAGGGTTCAAGACCCTGACTCCTGCCAAACCTCCTCCATGACTGCTCCCCTGCAGGTGCCCATGCAGGCCTTGGAGAGCGTATTCGCCTGCCTTGTGGCTGACAACTTGCTGCAGCAGGTTGGCTGGATGGCCTGATTGGTTGCTGTCCTAATGCACATTCATAATACAAAACAAATCAAATGCAAGGGCCGACCTGCTTACGAGGTTCGGCAAGTGTAGTTGAATCTGCACGCGCTCAGAGCGTAGCCTGCATCCAGCATTTTACTGATGAGGTGTCATGCCATAAAGCACCTACACCTGATGCGATTATTTTGTACCTTAAACTGCAACGATTTTGCCACCGCATGTGTCATAAAAGCATTTCTTGCCATCCCGCCCCAGGCTTCCTGCCCCCCGTTGCTGCCTCGCACTGTGGCAGGTGACCGCTGACGACTACGCACGCGCGGCGGCCGGCGACTCGGACGACGCGCCCGGCGGCGGCAAGCGCAGGGGCGGCCGCACGGGTAACGGGGGGCGTCGCGCCTGACACTTTTCGCTGCGGGCGGCTGCGACCGTGCTTGCCAAGTGCTGTGTTCTTGTTTGTGGTACAGTCATGCTGCTCCTGACACCACACACCGCCCTTTTCTCCCCCTGCCCAGTTTTTGTGCCCCACCTTTCTCTGCTCTCCCTCATGTCGACCTGAGGCTGGCCCACCTGCTGCCCCCACAGGTACCCACCCAGACCAGCACGAGATGCCCCCACCAGCCCCTATGGACCCCTCCACCACTGGCCGCCGCAACCCGAAGCGCGGCCGCATCCCGCCCGACGCGACGCCGACACGATCGCCGTGCGCCGCCAAGCGCGCCTGCACCGCTGCCACCGCCGGCGCGGCCGGGGCGGCTGCCGCAGCCGCCGGCAGCGGCGGCGGGG